AAAAAAAAAAAAAAAAATCTATAAATTATTGACATATAAGTTACCACAGTCCTATAAGCTAATACTTAAGCTCAAAAACTCTAAATTTATATAAAGATAATTGCATTTTTTTATTATTTGATGGTTCAAGAATTATATTCACCAATGCAAAATTCCCAAAATCAAATCAAGGTACTTGATATCTGGTCGTCCAACTATTATTACGATGATAAATATAATTGAATAACAAGAAATCCCTAAAACCAAAACATTTAATTTTGATTTAATATATCTCAGTGGTTGTACTATATTGGTGGTCTATTAAACATTATGGTTGCATTAAATTGAAATAAATTGGTCAATTCGCCCGATTAAATGGAAAATTGACCTATTTGATCCTATATATATAAACAGATTTATCATTTTTTAAGAATTACAACTAATTTTTTGGTCAAACCTTATTCTTCATTAAATACTTTCTACTTATTGCAATTTTTTTTTTTTTTTTATTTTAATGTCCAACACAATAATTGTTACAATCCACTCCCAAAAAAAATGCGGCCTTATCCCAAAAAATATGCAATTTTTTTATTTTTTTTTTCACGTTTAGCTTAAAGGTGAGCTGTTAAAATTCAATTCACATGTTTACATTGCATGCCCACATAATGCGGGAGGACTCCGGTATTTATTCAATTCAAGCATTCCCACAAAGTACACTAAATTTCGTTAATAATTTTGGTAAAATTTCAAATCAATTAGCGGATTATTTTTTTTGCGGATTTCTTTGTTATATAATTCAAATAAACAATATCCCTTATATGAAGGGATTTATTCCTTCAAATACACATTATTTAAAATATTAAATGTTTTAAATTAAATCACAGATTCTGAGTGATATGGAATTATGATTGCCTTCTACTGTAAACGAACACACTATTTACCAAAATTGTACACCTTTCAATTTTTATGCATATTTAGACTAAAACTAAAATAAAATATAATGAGAGATTTTATTTTTTTTCCTCCCAAATTTTGTTATTT